ATTTACAGAATCAAAGTTTAACATCAAACATTTACATTAATTTGGCAAAAATATGAAAATGACAACATGGCTAGTTTTACAGGAAGTGAGAACAATACGGCGATTGTTTTCACTTTTCAGCAGAACAGCAGACATCAATTCACACAGCGGTGATTGAGAACTTTGCTTCAGACATTTCTAAAAATTATCTGTAATGATTTTAGCAGATAGGAGAGTTTAAAGATGGAAAGTGAAGTTTGTCTACAGAGAGATGTGTGAGGGAATTTGTCTGTTTTAACCAGAACAACACGCTCCTTCTTTTCCAGCTTGGGCCAACGGTACGCTAGTTGAGATCGACTCTTTACCTTGCAGATGATAGCTTCAGCGTCGGCGTAGAGCTCTCCTTTCAACTTCTTTCAGCGTCTCCGTGAGAACAGCTAGAAACTCCTGGAGTCGTGAGGTCATCCAAACAGAAGTTATAATTCCCAAAATCGTCTCTGGTTCAGCTTGGTTCTAATTCAGCAGCATCCATGAATGCCTGCGTTTGCATTCTGGAACTCCCAAACTCTCTGCTTGAACTGCTACTCCATCTTCAAGACTGAGCTTACAGCAGCTTCAAGACTGAGCTGAACTCTCTGAACTCCAAAACTCTGAACTCTACTGAGCTGAACTCTCTGAACTGGGAAGTGCCACATTTAAATGGGCTCTACTTCCGGTTCATTTGAGAGCTTTTGATTGGTCGATGGACCAAAGCAGAGGTGTGGTTTGTGATGTAAGGTGTTATGGAAAGTCAAGGATTGTTTAAGAACAGACAGAAAGATTGTTGGAGAAAACCAGACTTAGTGGCGTCTCTACTCCTAGTATCTCGCTGTAAAAGTTAAACATGACATTTCTTTTCAGTAACTTTTTAGTTGACCGAAACTTGAACTCCGACACACTTACAACTTCTGCTCACTTCAAAGCAGATGATCAAGAAATTGAATCATTACTCTGTAACGTACTCTAACTTGATTTCACTTTGAATTGAGGATTAAAAATCATTACTACTGTTTAAGTAAATAAAAATGAGTAGTTCACTTCAACATGTAAACATTGTTTGAACTAACACAATTTGATTATCAAAACATTTGTAAAATAGTAATGATCATAGAGAATTGTCTTTTCCACTTGATTAATTCAAGAAAGAAAGTCTCAGGATGGGTCAAACTGTATTTCTGGATTCAAATCAATGAAATGACAGTTTCTGTCCATCTGGTCAGTTTTGACATCAGGCCTAGTCCACTACAGTGCTAAGATGGTGTCTTTGGCTTGCCCCCTCCTCTTGTGCTGGCCCTCTTCCTCGTCGACAGTCATATCAGACTGGTTCAAAACCAAAAATAGTCCATGCTCAATAATCCAGGTATACAATCCAACAATTTTCAGTCAGGTCATCTGGACAGTTTCTTTTTTTTTTTTTTTTTTTTTTTTCTGAAACGTTTCACCTTCCATCCAGAAGGCTTCATCAGTCAAGTAAACACACAACACAAAACTGATTTTTTTCCCCCAAACAGCTAACTCCAAAGTGGAACAAACCAGTTATGTTGGTGCTAAGATTGTGTCTTTGGCACGCCCCCTCCTCTTGTGCCGGCCCTCTTCCTCATCGACAGTCATATCAAACTGGTTCAAAATCAAAAATAGTCCATGCTCAATATTCCAGGTATACAATCCAACAATTTTCGGTCAGGTCATCTGGATAGTTTCTTTTTTTTTTTTTTTTGCTGAAACGTTTTACCTTCCATCCGGAAGGCTTCATCATTCAAGGAAACACACAACACAAAATGGATTCTTCCCCCTAACAGCTCACTCCAAATTGGAACAAACCACTTATGTTGGTGCTAAGATGGTGTCTTTGGCATGCCCCCTCCTCTTGTGCCAGCCCTCATCCTTGTCGACAGTCATATCAAAATGGTTCAAAACCAAAAATAGTCCACGCTCAATAATAGCATATTTTCCTAACAGAGCACTTCGCTCTCAGACTGCAGGTTTACTTGTGGTTCCTAGAACAAACCAGTAATGTTGGTGCTAAGATGGTGTCTTTGGCATGGCCCCTCCTCTTGTGCTGGCTCTCTTCCTCGTCGAAGGTGAAACGTTTCAGCAACAAAAAAAAAAAGAAACTGTCCAGATGACCTGACTGAAAATTGATGGACTTTCTAAGAATAGTTTCAGACTGTGGTGTTAAGCTTAATTCTGGTCACTTTCAATGCCAAACCTATTGTTCTTTGGTCTGTGTTTTTCAGGTGTGCACTGTGTAGAGGAAGGGGTCCTCAAAATTATTGAGTTTTGATTAGGAATTTTATTTTGAAAGGGGCACCACTTGCTTTCCGGTTATTAAGCAAGAAAAATATAAAAAATCAGTATCAAAATTTATGTATTCTAATTAGGGCATTAACAGAGTACTCGAGTAATTTACACAACGATTGCTAGGACCTCTATCGAGGTTAAAAAGTTAACATCGAGTATCCGTAGTGACGTCATATTATGTGACCACCGTATGACCGTAGGGGGTGGTGTTGCACTGTTGCAGGTCACAGAGTATGGTGTAACACCGGGTCCAATCCACCGAACCATTTTCGGTTAAGTTTCGTTTTTGACGTGCTGCACGTTTCTTCACGTTTGCAGTTTAATAATAATAACTAATAGTTTAGTTTTTCCTGTGACTTATTTGCAGTATGATAAATGGTAGGAGCATAATATATGCTCCCACTGTTTTGTTGGTCTTTTTTTTTGTAAATAATTACCTTTTTTTTGCGGTTTTATTTATTTATTTATTTTTGTATCTTGAGATCTATGACGTCATCAAATACTCGAGTTCTACTCGGGTTTTATTATATTAATGTCGAGTTTAAAAATTATGTACTCGTTCAACCCCTAATTCTAATGAGTACTTTTCGTATTAAATTCTTCTGTCGTATATAATAAATGCATGAATTCAAAGTACAATTTTGTGAAGTTTATTATCAATTTTGGTAAATATTCAATTCAAAAATACTTTATTAATCCCAAAGGGAAATTAAGTGTTGTCGTAGCTCATCCTGGTTTCATTCAAGAGTTATTATAGATGCTAATAGCTGTGGGCAAGAAGTATCTCCTGCAGTGAATCCGAAGAATATGGCCACAGATGCCAATCTGTCCACCTGGATCCAACTTCCTGTCACATCTGGCGGGCCTTTCAGTCCTCCTGGGCAGCAGAACTGCCCAAAGTGATAAGTGATCAAAAATGATGAATACAGCTGAAGTATGAATAATGGCTTCGAATCGACAACACAAAAATAATTTAACTTCTAAACTTTAATATGGTGAATTATGAGGTTTAAAAGCAGAGTAAATTATCATCTATAAATGTATCTAAAAGGAAGTGTTTTGGCTAGATTTAATTTGTCAATTTAGGATTTTAAAAGAGCTTAATTTTAATGAATATAATAATGCTGATATCTTAATGAATTTGACTGGAAGGCTCTAACACCAGACACCAAGCACCTGCAAAGGAAAGAACAGCTTTTCCTACCTATTTGAAGTTCTATTTCAACCATCTCAGGGTTACCAGATTTCTTTGTGATTTTTTTCATTCAACATTGATTATTGAGCATGCATCAGGATATTTTTCATTCAACCTTTATTTCTACAGGTTAGTCTCATTGAGCCTCAAGGACTCATTTACAAGAGAGACCTGTTTTAAACAAAGAATGATGACAACAGTAGACCACAATGACAGCAGTGGACAATCATAAAAGAAAGCATATGAAGAAAATTATATATATTAAAAAAAAAAAAAAGAAACCAAAACAGCTACATTATAAAGCAATGTAAAATACTAAAAAACAGGAACTGTCTTGGTTTTTGCCATGAACTTAGCAGATGTTTGAAGCCATTTAATCACTTCAATATCCACTTTAAAATTAGGAATAAAAAAAAAAACGTGTTAGCAGGATTTAATTCTAACTTTGAAACTTATTCAACATTAATAAAACTTACCTCAAGTTGCCATTTTTGGACATACATGCATATATTTGTACAACTTGTACTTACCTGTAGCGAGATTATTAAAGCCTCATATAAAGTCAATAATGAGGATATCTGACCGGTATCGGAATAGTATTGGTATCGTCCGATATCCTGACTTAAGTATCGGGATTGGATTGGAAGTTAAAAAATTTTTTTTTAAAAAGGTGGAGACACATGACTGCTTTTGGCTCTTTTGATCAGAAGACTTGTTTTGTGCAGTTGGAAGCCCCCCGCACCCCCAGCATATCTTCATGGGATAAGAGAAG